GGCTGAAACCCAGGCAGGCAGCTTCCATTCTGATATAGCTTTATACATCCCCGGTAGAAATAGTTTCCTGTCAAATGACTTCAAGAAAACCCAACACAGGAAACGTGAAAGCATAACACAGATAAATTAGGGAGTGATTATTTGTCCTACAAAAGGATTTTTACTTAATAAAGTCAATCTTGTAACAGAACTCTCTTGTGTTATTTATTTGAGACACAGTCTCACTTTGTCACTCTTGGTACAGTGCCATGGAGTCATAGCTCACAGCAACCTTAAACTCTTGGGCTCAAGACATCCCCTTACTTCAGCCTCCCAATCTGTGTCTTGTAGACAATAATCTTTCCTTGTGCTTTGATGATATGGTTCAATTTGTGAAAATGCAGATCTCAAATCTTGGTAGAATATCATACAGAGCAAAAGGTAGGTAAAAGTTTTGTATATTCAAAAATTGGGCTGGGCACGGTGGCTCATGCCTGTAATCCTAGCACTCTGGGAGGCTGAGGCAAGTGATTGTCTGAGCTCACAGGGTGGAGACCAGCCTGAGCAAGAGCAAGACCCCATCTGTAAAAAATAGCTAGGGATTGTAGCAGCTGCCTGAAGTCCCAGCTACATGGGAGGCTGAGGCAACAGAATCGCTTGAGCCCAAAAGTTTGAGGTTGCTATTATGACGCTATAGTACTCTACAGAGGGTGACAGTGTGAGGCTGTCTTAAAAAAAAAAAAAAAAAAAGCAATACTGACTTATGAGCCCCAGCAGGAGACAATTAATAAATTATTCAATTAGGTGTGTCCTTTATATTGCTAGTGTTTACAATAAAGTCTTTGTAATCCTAGCACTCTGGGAGGCCAAGAGGAGATGGATCCCTTGAGCTCAGGAGTTTGAGACCAGCCTGAGCAACAGCAAGATCCTCTCTGTACTAAAAATAGAAAAACCAACCAGATGTAGTGCTGCACACCTGTAGTCCCAGCTACTCAAGAGGCTGAGGCAAGAGGATTGTTTAAGCCTAAGAGTTTGAAGTTTCTGTGAGCTATGATTACATAGCACTCTACCCAGGGCACAGAGTGAGACTGTCTAAAATTAAAAAAAAAAAAGAAAGAAAAAGAAAATAGCTCAGTGCCCTTAGCTCAGTAAGTAGGGCGCCGGCCACATACACCAAGGCTGCAGGTTTGAGCCTGATCCAGGCCTGATAAACAACAATGACAACTGCAACCAAAAAATAGTCGGGAATTGTGGTGGGTACCTGTAGTCTCAGCTACTTGGGGGGCTGAGGCAAGAGAATCGCCTAAGCCCAGGAGTTGGAGGTTGCTGTGAGCTGTGATGCCACAGCACTCTACCGAGGGCGACATAGTGAAACTGTCTAAAAAAAACAAACCAACCAACCAACCCCAGGAAGCAGAGCATCTATTAGGCTGAACCATATGAAATTGCCAATATTTAAATGCTCATGGCTGACAGAAATGATGATTTCATACGGGTTGATCCAACTCTTATCTGAATCACTAAGCTAATTTGGCAAATGTGGTCTCTTGACAAAGGGAAACTGACATTTCCAGTGAGAAAACGAATTTTCTTTTGCTGTCAATAAGCAGCACACAACTTTCTACAGAAGGACCACCCACAAGTCCTGCTCTGGGGGCCTCCCAATTAGGCAGGGAAAGTTGTTTGCATCTGGGAGGGCACCAGGCTCTCAGATGGAGCTGCTCACTGCCGCTGCCACAGGCCGGCCATGGCCTATTGGCCAGAAGAAGCGCAAAACTGCCTGCACACGTCCCTGGACCTCCATGCCCTACCCCACAGTCCCTGAAGTGGGCTACCCTCACTGGGAGCTTCTGGGCATCAGGGCTGTTACCCAGGAGGTGGGGAAGGTGGGGGGAATGGAGCATAGTACGAACCCCCATTTGTTCCTCCTTCCCCACATTCTCTTTCTGTTGCTCTTGCCCACCACCCCTACACGCATACATCTTGGGCACATCAGAACAGGAGGAAGGAGGTTACTGTTTCCTTCCCCTACTGCAAAGAATTGGGGCAGGGGGAGGGGGGAGTGCAGCAGGCAGAATTCAGAGGAAAAGCTGTGTCTGGGGAAAGATGTGGCACTGATACAGAATGACCCATTTAAAAGGGCCATGGGAGGTGGCCCATGCGCTTGGGTTTCCAGCAGACCCAGCAGCACGCGCGTGTGTATGTGTGTGTGTAAACACACCCATCTGCACGCACACACTCAGGCTCTCACATGCCCACGTGTTTCCTGATCCCGCAGTCTCTGAGCATTCACCCAAAGGTGCCGAAATTTAGGCCAGTAGCAAGAGCAGACAAGCGTTGAGTGCCTGCCTCTCTCCCTCTCTCTTCCTCTCTGCCCCTTGTGCTCTCTCCTGTCTCAATGTACAAATGGGCATTTGGTGAAAAGAAAAGCGGTGCAGGAGGGAGTAGGACTGATGAGGAAGACAAATACGGGAGAGTTTAAGAACTCCATAAACTGCAATCACTGAGCATTCACATCTCTGCCACGTGGGTAGAAACACTGATAGAGGAGGCGTGAGAACAAGAGGGCCCCCCAAAGCAGCATGCCTGCCAAGAAGTTGTTCATTCCTTCCTTCACCAAAATTTAGTGGGCACCATCTGCCATGTGCCCGGCCCTGTATCAGGCGCTGGGAAAGCAGCTGTGTACTGGGACATGGCTCCAGGCCAGCACAGGCACCAGGCAGGGTTAGCCAGGTGCCACCGGTGACGACTCCTTCAGCCTCCCGACTTCAGACCTCCTCCAAAACCAGGACGTTAACACCCTCTAAGACCATCAGATTCATCCCAGTTTCTTGCCTTCAAAGTTTTGTATAGTCTGAGCCCCACCCAGGTCTTTCTGTGAGGAGTAGGAAATTAAGTTAACATTTTTTTGAGACAGAGTCTCACTTTGTCGCCCTGGGTAGAGTGCCGTGATATCACAGCTCACAGCAACCACAAACTCTTGGGGCCAAGCAATTCTCTTGCCTCAGCTTCCCAAGGAGCTGGGACGACAGGTGCCTGCCACAATGCCAGCTTTTTCTCTCTCTCTCTCTCTTTTTTTTTTTGAGACAGTCTCACTATGCCACCCTTGGTAGAGTACCATAATGTCACAACTCACAGCAACCTTAAACTCTTAGGCTTAAGCTACTCTCTTGCCTCGGCCTCCCAAGTAGCTGGGACTACAGGCACCTGCCATGACTACTTTTTTTTTGTTGTTGTAGTTTTTGGCAGGGCTGGGTTTTAACCCGCCACCTCCAGCATATGGGGCTGCCACCCTACTCCTTTGAGACACAGGTACTACCCAACACCCCGGTATTTTTTGTTGCAATTGTTATTGTTGTTTAGCTGGCCCGGGCTGGGTTTGAACTCGCTACCCTCAGTGTATGTGGCTGGTGCTTAACAACCGTGCTACAGGAGCCGAGCCTCCCCCTCCCCCAACCCCCGAGACAGAATTTCACTTTGTCATCCTTGATAGAGTGCCATGGCGTCACAGCTCACAGCAACCTCAAGCTCTTGGGCTCAAGTAATTCTCTTGCTTCAGCCTCCCAGGTAGCTGGGATTACAGGCGCCCCCGCCAATGCCCAGCTATTTTTAGAGATGAAATCTCCTTCTGGCTCAGGCTGATCTTGAACTCCTGAGCTCTAGCAATCCACCTGCCTCAGCCACCCAGACTAAAATTTAAATTAAGCAGTTATTTTCAATCTGGCTTATTTCTTGCATAACCTTCCATTTCACAAATGTAGAAACTGAGACACAAGGCAGTTAAGTAATTTGAGGTCACTCTTTAGGAATTGGGAAACTGAGATTTAGATATAGTCTGACTGGCTCCATCATCATGCTCTTTTTTTCTTTGAGACAGTCTTAACTCTGTTGCCCTGAGTGCCATGGTGTCATAGCTCACAGCAACCTCAAACTCTTGGGCTTAAGTGATCCTTCTGCCTCAGCCTGCCCAGTAGCTGGGACTCTAAGTGCCCACCACAATGCTTGCTAGTTTTTTTTGTTTTTAGTAGAGATGGGGTCTCACTCTTGCTCAGGCCAGTCTCAAACTCCTGAGCTCAAGCAATCCACCAGCCTTGGGTGCCCATAGTGCTAGGATTACTGAGCCACTGAGCCTGGCTGGTACTTTTACTCCCCCCCCCCGCCCCATTATAGCCCTTTTAAAATTACGATAAGGTCCTTTTACTTTTTTTTTTGAGACAGAGCCTCAAGCTGCCACCCTGGGTAGAGTGCTATGGCATCAGAGCTCATAACAACCTCCAATTCCTAGTTTCAAGCAATTCTCCTGCCTCCTCCTCCCAAGTAGCTGGGACTACAGGCGCCCACTACAATGTCCAGCTATTTTTTGGTTGCAACCATCATTGCTGTTTGGCGGGCCTGGGCTGAATTTGAACCCGCCAGCTCAGGTGTATGTGGCTGGTGCCTTAGCTGCTTGAGCTACAGGTGCTGAGCCAGTCCTTATAACTATGACAAACAAGCCAGTTCCAATGACTGGCTCAGCGCCTGTAGCTCAAGCAGCTAAGGCGCCAGCCACATACACCAGAGTTGGTGGGTCTAATCCAGCCCGGCCTGCCAAACGACAATGATAGCTGCAACCAAAAGATGGCCGAGCATTGTGGCGGGCGCCCATAGTCCCAGCTACTTGGGAGGCGGAGGCAGGAGACTCGCTTGAGCCCAGGAGTTGGAGGTTGCTGTGAGCTGTGATGCCACAGCACTCCACCCAGGGTGACAGCTTGAGGCTCTGTCTCAAAAAAAACAAAGAAGTTCCAATGACCATCTACTAGTTAAAATTTAACTCTTTAAAGTCACTGAATGGGAAAGAGTTTGAAGTGGGAGCTGGTCACTTTGAGTGGAGAAAACATGAATTGAATATGGAAGGGCCTATTTGAAATGGGCCTGCAGACAGTGAGGAGTGTGCATGAACTCTGCTCCCAGCCACATCTGCCCATGTCTGATGGGCCTGGGCCGTGAAAGGAAAGGCCAGAACGAATGGTTGGGGTGCTCACCATGACGATGTTGGCCAGATGGGCAGAGACGAGCGCATACACCCCTCCAGAAGAGCCCACGACTGGGGCGGTCATGTCAGCCACAGACACTGCCAAGGACCCTGGTACAGAAAGACAGCAAGATTTCTCAAGAATGCTGGACTCGGCTCCCCAAACCCAGTCCTGGGCCTTGGATTCTGCAGCCTCAGTGGTAAGACTCTATAGCCAGGGGCTCTATCTCTTGCTCCTTTGATTCCATGTTAACCTTGGAGCTTCCTATGCATTTCAAAGATTAACTTATGGCTGAAAGAACCATTGATTCGAAAGTATTTTACGGGGGAAACAGTCTCTAACAAGGAAAGGGATTTGCCCAAAGTAGAACTCAGCCTTATTCATCTGCCTCTGCCTGACAGTATACTCTGGGGATTCTAGAGCAATAACAAAAACAGTAGCAGTAGTTACCGCAGACACAGCAGCAGCCACTTAGGGGGCACTATGTGTCGGCCTGGGCTAGCATTTTACATACATCCTTCCCTTCAACTCTCAGGACAGCCCTTTAAGGCAGATGCTAGTTAGCTTCACTGCAGAGATGAGGAAACTGAGCCCAGAGTCCCCTGCTAGGAAGTGCTAGAACCAGGATTTGAGACCAGGTCCACCTGGTGTTTTTTTGTTTGTTTGTTTTGTTTTTGCTTTTCTTTTTGGAGACAGAGTCTCACTTTCTTGCCCCTGGTAGAGTGATATGACATCACAGCTCACAGCAACTTCAAACTCTTGGGCTCAAGTGAAGTGATCCTCTTGCCTAAGTCTCCTGAGTAGCTGGGACTACAGGTGCCTGGCACAATGCCTGGCTATTTTTTTTAGAGACAGGGTTTCACTCTTGCTCAGGCTGATCTTGAACTCATGAGCTCCAGTGTTCCACCCTCCTTGGTCTCCCCTCTGAGTGCTGGGATTATAGGTGTGAGTCACTGAGCCCCTCCAAACCCTGAGTTCTTGATCAAAGCCACCCCCACCTCCACCCCCCAAAACTACCACGGTTCTCTGCTCAGCAGCATGCAGAAAGCTGCCTAGTAGTCACTCCCACCCTTCCTCCAACTGAGCTAAATCACAAAAGGCCAACAGGATCTCCCTCTGTAGGGCTTCTTTGGAGCAAAAATGTCCTTGAAAAGTTAATGGGAAGAGAGAGAGAGAGAAGAGAGAGATATGATGTCATACCCTGTGGGGGAAAGGAAGGGTATAGGATGCTTGGTCTGGGGGATGACAAACTTTTGAGGGAAGCTGGGCAGAGAGGAGATGAGAAATTTATTGTTCTGGTCTCATTTAAGTGTGATCAATGCTTTGGCTTCCAGGGAAGGACACAGGAGACTAAAAATAACTGGGAGGTAGAGCCCAGGGCTCAGAGGATGAGAGGTGGCTGGCCTGGGTGAGCGGGGAGATATCACCATTGGAAAATGCCCGCAGGCTTATGAGCCAATTAGCTGCTGGAGAGAGGAGGGACAGGCAGAAAGTCAATTCTGCACATTCTGTGGTTGGGAGAGGATCCACAACAGAGGAGGAGGGTGGGCCCAGCCCAGGAACCAGAGTCCCTGCTGACCTGGACAGGGACAGCCCAATACCACCACCTGCTTCCTTGCCCCACCTCTATCAAGCTCCTCCATTCACTGAGATCCTTCAAAAAAGAGATCTCCACAACCAATACTCAGTCTCAAGGGAGTATGTGGGCTCGGCGCCTGTGGCTCAAGCGGCTAAGGCTCCAGCCACATACACCTAAGGTGGCGGGTTCGAATCCCCAGCCCGGGCCCGCCAAACAACAATGATGGCTGCAACCAAAAAAAATGGCCAGGCATTGTGGCGGGCACCTGTGGTCCCAGCTACTTGGGAGGCTGAGGTAGGAGACTCGCTTGAGCCCAGGAGTTGGAGGTTGCTGTGAGCGTGATGCCACGGCACTCTACCCAGGGGAATAGCTTGAGGCTCCGTCTCAAAAAAAAAAAAAAAAAAGGGAGTATGTGATCTCTCAAAAAACAAACAAACAAACCAAAAAAACTGTCATGAACTCCCACTCCTTCCCCACTCCCAGGGCAACTATAAATCTTTCATGCCTTCTCTCTGGCTTTAATTAGGTATTGATCTATTGTCAGATAACTTTCTTTTTTTCTTTCTTTCTGTTTCATTTTTTTTTTTTTTTTTTTTTTGTTTTTTTTTTTTTTTTTTTTTTTTTTTTTTACTGCCCGGCCAAGAGATCAGCCATATATAAGTGGGAAAAAATATCCCAGGGTGGCAAACAGGCAGCGGGATCTGCATGACAAAAGATTCCCACGCTCTCTCCTGGAGAGGCTGTGTAAGAAGGCTGCATTGCAGGGCTGCCGAGCTGCTCCTCATTAATTACCCTTTGGACAGAGGCAGCCCCGGCCTCCCTCCCAGGGCTGGCCTCTCTGCTCAGAGCAAGCAGGCCCATACAAACCAGCTCAGCTTCTGCGGCCTCATCCCTGCCCCAGCACGGCCCACCAGGGCAGGCCCCAGCAGGAAAGGGCCCCTGCCAGGGTCAAGCCTGCACACACTGACCTTTCCCTCACCCTATGCATGGCGCAGGGCCCTGACCTCAGAGTCAGGCTCAGTTAGGGATTGTGGCAGGAGTATGGGAGAGGCATGGCTGGCTAGCTGTGTGACCTTGGGCGCAGCCCCTGAATTCTTTGGGCTTCAGTTTTCACATCTGTCAAATGAGGAGGTTTAAGACTTTCCAACTTTTGAGCAGCAAAACCCTCCTTTCAAAGGAATCCTTTCTGGGATGCCCTAACTCAGTAGTTCTCAACCTGTGGGTCGTGACCCACAGGAACTGTATTAAAGGGTTGCAGCAGTAGGAAGGTTGAGAACCACTGCCCTAACTCACGGTGCAGAGCGCAGACAGCAGCTCCAGCTGAGTGGGAATGGGGCCTGGGCAGCCGTTTTCCAGCCCCAGGTGGAAACCTCTGGGGTTCCTTCCAGATCAGAAATTCAATGATCTGAGTCTTGGCCCCAGATCCAAGGGTTGAGGCTCAAGTCCTGTTTTAGAATCTCCAAGGTATCCTGCCCTCCATTTGTATAAAGCCTTTCCTCCAGTTCCCGCAGAGAAGATCTAGACTAGAGCAACTGGGAAAGAGATGTGCACATAGAAATCCCATCTCCGGGCACAGGTGCAGGCCAGGCAGGATTCCCTCACAAGCCCGTTATGACCCTAACCTGACAGGTGACAGTTAGATACAGCCAGTATGAATTTGGCTATGAATTTTCCAGTAAAAGTTCTAAGTCCACGCCAGCATGTGGGTAAATTGGTAACTCTGTCATAATGCACAGCTATAAAAGATTTAGCCTCAAAATTTTAAAGCAGGAGTTCTTTAAACATTGCCCTTGGCCTTAAAAAAAAAAGAAAAATATCAGAAAAATATCTATCTTGAAGCAATGCAACTTTTTTTTTTTTTTGCAGTTTTTGGCTGGGGCTGGGCTTGAACCCACCACCCCTACTCCTTGAGCCACAGGCTCCGCCCAGTAATGCAACTTTTAATTTAATTAATGTATTTATTTAGACAATCTCACTATGTTGCCCTGGTTAAAGAGCTGTGGCATCACAGCTCACAGCAACCTCAATTTCTTGGGCTCAAGTAGCTGGGACTATAGGCGCCTGCCACAACACCTGGCTAGTTTTTCTATTTTAATAGAGACGGGTCACAACACCTCGCTAGTTTTTCTATTTTAATAGAGACGGGTCTCACTCTTGCTCAAGTGCTCCTGAACTCTTGAGCTAAGGTGATCTACCCACCTTAGGTTCTCAAAGGGCTAGAATTACAGGAGCGAGCCACTGCGACCAGCCAAAGCAATGCAAATTTATTTATTTATTCTACAAATATTTATTGTCTAATATATGCCAGACCCTGTGTTAGGCTCTGTGGATGTGCACATGGTTTATAATCTATATGATATATAATTAAAGTTTGGTGACATATTTAAGATATTGGGCTTTTATTATTGCAGTTATTGTCACTTTTAAGCCATGATACCTGCCCAATACTGTTTTCTCTGTTGTTGCTGGTTTTTTTTGGGGGGGGTGGTAGTTTGAGACAGAGTTTCACTATGTTGCTCTGGGTAAGAGTGCTGTGGTGTCACAGCTCATAATAACCTCAAATCCTGGGCTCAAGCGATTCTCTTCCCTCAGCCTCAGCCTCCCAAGTAGTCAGGACTATAGGCGCCTGCCTTAACACCCGGCTATTTTTTGGTTGTAGTTGTCATTATTGTTTGGCAGGCCAGATGCAAACCCGCCAACTCTGGTGTATGTGGCTGGTGCCCTAACCGCTGAGCTACAGCCGCCAAGCCCCAATACTGGTTTTTGAAGTACCGTACTTCCATTGTTTGCCGTATAATTGGTAGCCATAAGTGAATTACACATTGGTCGTAAGCTCTGCTTAGAAGCACAGGGCTTGGGTGGTGCCTGTGGCTCAGTGAGTAGGGCACTGGCCCCATATACCGAGGGTGGTGGGTTCAAACCCAACCCCAGCCAAACTGCAACAAAAAAATAGCCAGGCGTTGTGGTGGACTCCTGTAGTCCCAGCTACCGGGGAAGCTGAGGCAAGAGAATCGCCTAAGCCCAGGAGTTGGAGGTTGCTGTGAGCTGTGACGCCACAGCGCTCTACTGAGGGTGATAAAGTGAGACTGTCTCTACAAAAAAAAAAAAAGCAGCACAGGGCTTGGGAAGGGCTCCACACCAGCTCTACTACTTCTTAGCTGAGTAAATCGAGTAAGTTATTTCACCTCTCTGAACTGCCTGTTAAATGGAGGTAACAAGAACCCACCTCATAGGATTGTTGTGAAGAATATAGGCAATTACATACATGAACGCTTTATCATCACATGTGCTCAGTAGAAGTTGGCTGTCATTGCTACAAAGTGCAATGGATGGTCTTGGATACTTTTGTTGGGCAGGAATGAGAGAGGAGGACCAGTTATCTGTTAAAGCTTCCCTTGATTTCTAGAAGTATCTGCACAAAGGAAAAGACCTACCATTTGGTTCCCTTCACATGAGGGAAGTGGTTTATTTTTTTATTTTTCTTTTTAGAGGTGGGGTCTCACTCTGTCACTCAGGCTGGAGTGTAATCACATGATCATAGCTCAATGCAACCTTGAAACACCTGAGCTCAAGTGATCCTCCTGCTGTAGCTTCTAGGGTAGCTGGGAACATTTGTTTGTTTTTGTTTAACTTTTTTTGTTTGTTTTTGGTGGAGATAGGAGTCTTGCTATGCTGCCCAGGGTTATCTTGAAGTCTTGGGCTCAAGTGAGCCTCCTGCCTTGACCTTCCAAAGTGCTGGGATTACAGCACAGGCTTGGGGGTCAAACATGTGGGTGTGGGCCCAGCTCTACCCACTGACAAGCTATGTCTTCTTGGGTGAGTCTCTTATCCCTGCAAGCCTTGATTTCTGCATTTGTGCCAAGTGGAGAGTCCCAGTGCATGCCTGGTGGTGGTGTAGTAAGGATTAAATATGGTGTGCGCACAGTAGGCACTGAAGACCACGGGCTATCCAGTTGAGGGCTGTCTGTAACGGGGTCTCCTTGGGAGGAGAGATGCGAGGGAGCAGGGAGGGTGCACAGCAGCAGCAGATAAATCAGCTCAGCCCCAGCAATCGATAACATGATCTGTGGTAACCAGACTGCCCTCTGGACTGAATCAATGACTCAGACAGAACAGCACACGTCACTTGCTTTATGATACAACCCCGCATGTTTGCAGTCAGTTGATGAGCTCTGCTTCTGTCTGGAATCTTCTCACTCTGCACGGGCATCCCTGGGAGGGGATGCCTGTGCTGTCTCCCCACCGCGTGTCATGTGGTGTGGGTGAGTTCTGAGTCATTCTGAATCTTATTCCAGGCTTGTAGGTTATCGGCACTCCTGTCTAATTGAATACCAACAGCAAGTGTTACAAGTGTCGTTCCTGTTCCTCGTCATTTCACATCTGGGTCTCTGGGCATTTAGGTATGGACAATGGTGCTACAAATCCCCAGATGTCGGGACGAGGGGGTGCGTGGGTGGCTGAGCAAGTCTGGCACAGGAAGATGCTCATCAGAGCACCTTTGTTCAAAGATGCAGAAGGTGCTAGATTCTGGGAGCGGCTTGCAGGGGTGCCGCCCAATGTGGTCACAGAGTTTTTCACCTGGCACATAGTGGAGCAAAGGAGGTGTGCTGGGTGCATCTCCCAGACCAGGGGTTCACTCACTCGCAGACCAGCCTCATGTGTGTGTGGGGGGACCCTTCCCTCTTTGGTTTCTGAAACCACTTCGGTTCCCCCCAGGATCCTGCCTGCCCGTTGTTTACAAGGCTGATGCTGCCCCGCTCTCCTGATGACAACTTTAATGCCACTCAGAAAGGATTAAGAGCTTACTTAAACACACACACAAAGCTCCCTTGGGCACAGCTGTCAAGCTGAAGAGCTGAGGCGGCAAACCTTGTTATAATATTTAAAAAAAAAAAAAAGCCAGCAACAAAGTTGAAAGTATCACAAGGGAGAGCCTTATGTTCAGGAGCCTGGCTGGTGAGACTTCTACAGAAATCCACTCTGCTCTCCACAGCTCACTCTGCTCATCTCACTTCCAGAGGTGGAAGGCTCAGCAGAAGTCACCCAGGCCACTTCCCACGAGGCAATGATCACCTGCCAGTCACAGGTATGCTGAGTCAGCCAGAGGCCTGGACTTCTCCAGATGGAGTGAGAGCTCACTATCTCTTAGGCCAGGCTCTCCTGTCAGCAACGGGTCATGCAAAGAAGCCATTGCTGGTCTGGGTAGAGGCAGGACCTCCTTCTGGGTGCAGGTGGTGCCCTGGCTGGGTTCTCCCACGGGGACCTAACTATGCTCTTGCACAGTTTACCTGGCGCTAGTCTTCCCACTGTTGTCTTGTTTCACCATCCCAGCAACCCCACAGCCAGAGCTCATTAGTTCCGAGAGAGTGAGGACTTTCCCAAGCTTACAGCACTGTAACAAGGTGGGGTGAAGAGACTGAGCCTCAGTCAGTCTGCCTGCTCCAAATCCAGTGCTCTCATCCGCTATCCCATCACCCCGGCAAGGAGCAGTCCCATTCTCAGCCTCCCAGGAGGGGGGTGTTCCTGAAGCCTGGGGCTTGCCCTACCCACCTACCCCCAGGGTCTGGCAGGCTGCTCTAGGGAGGTGCACCCCTAAGGACGCAGGGCCTGCCTGCCTACCTGCCACAACGCCGGCCACATAGACAAGCCCGATTCGGGTGGCTCCGTGCACCATTTCCAGAGGCACCCCCACCAGCAGCTGCAGCACCACGTTGAGTCCCAGGTGTTCTATCCTGTGACAGAGAGACCACTCTCATTCATCCATTCAAAACCCCCCTGGATCCCCCAGTGATGAAGGAGTCCAGCCGTGAACAAGACTATCTCTGCCCCTGAGGAGCTCGCGCTGGGGGGAGGAATGACAATGCCCCGACCGTCCCAGACAGAGTGGTCCTTCCAACTGGGATAGGAACACAGGTGTAGGAGCTGGGTGGTGGTGGGCCATGTTTGCACTTGCCACAGTGAAGGAAGGACTAACCATCGTCAAGATCCAGCAACTCCATTGGGTAACACACAAGAAACCGAGGCTCAGAGGTAGGCCGTGCGTGACTAGTTTAAAGTCACACACTGGGTGAGTGGCCAGGCTGGACCATCACCCAGGTCTCCAATCTGCCTGGCCTGTTCCATTCAGCAGCTCTAGCTCTCCATTTGTAAAAGCTACTAATATTTAAAGAGAAAGCTGTTCTTGAAGCATTCAAGATACTGCTTGTAATTTAATCATGTAAAGTTTTCCCTTAGAGTCTCATAGGGGAAGCTCCTTCCTGGTGTGGGAAGGGACTGTTCTGCTCCAAAACTCTCAGGTTGGGAGAGGGGACCCTAGGTTTTTGTAGCCTGTGAATGCCTCCTCTGCACACTCCTAAACGCCTGGGAGCAGATCTTGCTGCCAAATGTGTGTGGTGTTTAACTGAGTGCTTATGTTATCAGAAAAATTGTAGTATTGCTTTCTTTTTTTTTTTGAGACAGAGTTTCACTATGTCACCCGTGGTAGAGTGCTATGGTGTCACAGCTCACAGCAACCTCAAACTCTTGGGCTTAAGTGATTCTCCTGCCTCAGCCTCCCAAGTAGCTGGCACTACAGGCACCCACCATAACACCCAGCTATTTTTTGTCTCTTTTTTGAGACCCAAGTCTCACTCTGTCATCCTGGGGAGAGTGCTGTGGCATCCAAGCTCACAGCAATCTCAAACTCTCAAGAGATCACCTTAGTTCAGCCTCCCGAGAAGCTGGGACTACAGGTACCGGCCACAGTGCTCAGCTAGTTTTTCTAGTAGAGATGGGGTCTAGCTTTTGCTCAGGCTGGTCTCAAACTCCTGAGCTCGGGCTATCCACCCACCTCAGCCTCTCAGGGTGCTGGGATTGTAGGAGTGAGCCACCATGAGCCCCAAGAATTGTAATATTGCTAAGTCAACGTGGTACTTTCGAATATACAAAACACTTTAACATCCATTATCTCACTTAAATTCCTCCCCCAGCACCTGGACAGCTCCCGAGGGAGAGTCAAAGTTAGGGAATAAAATAGTCTGTAACAAAGGCTCTGGGCCCTGGCCTGGGTCACAGTCTTGCTCCTGGTCTGCAGGGTCCTGCATGGAGGCCCAGCTGTGCTCTGCAGAGAGCATGTGGGCACCTGCTTGCTCAGGAGGGAACCTGAGAGGTAGCCCTATGTCCTGAATTCCTGCCATGCTGAAATCACCTACCCTACACTGACTGTGCCAGCTAATGGATTCTATGGAGATTAGAAATGTCAGAGAAATCCACTGTAAAGGAGCTGGGAAATAGCCTCAGACTCAGCTTGGCGCCTGTGGCTCAAGCGGCTAAGGAGCCAGCCACATACACCAAGGTGGCAGGTTCAAATCCAGCCTGGGCCCACCAAACAACAATGATGGCTGCAACCAAAAAATAGCCGGGCATTGTGGCAGGTGCCTGTCGTCCCAGCTACTTGGGAGGCTGAGGCAGTAGACTTGCTTAAGCCCAGGAGTTGGAGGTTGCTGTGAGCTGTGATGCCATAGCACTCTACCCAGGGGACAGCTTAAGGATTTAACTAAAAAAAAAAAAAAAAAAAAAAAAAAAAAACACAAGATTTATCTATACTCTTTCCACCCTAATGTAAAAACTGTTAATATTCTGGTACATTGC